AAACCTTCGAATCGCCCAAAATCTTAGCAAACATAAGATGTTATGGTTATCTAAAAGTGCAATTATCGAAACAGTTATTAAGTAATATTATCACGTTCCACGATTCAAGAATGTTCAGTTGAAGACGGTTGAACGACAAAGAGTAGTGACAGCAGTTAGAGACGGCAGTTCCACGATAAGTTGGCCACCATGAAGAAAGTGGGCAGTTATAAAGCAATTAAACATTTTCTAAGCGGTTGATCATGAAGAGATCATCAAGAAAATATAAAAGGAAGAAAAGACATAGAGCAAAGGGCCCCGATTCAAACACTCTCAAACAGAGAATATGTAATTTCAATTTTTTAGTTTAGACTTAAACATTTCTTTTCAGTACTCGTGTGCTTGCGTCCTTTTGAGGCATTCTGTTTAGTTCCAATTGTAAAGTTATCGCCAATAAAACACCCCTTTTTGGGACTTTGTCTCAAGAGATTTGTTTCTTATACTGATTCCTTTTTAATTGTTAGCGACCACCCGCGCGAAACAGAAATATCAAACTTTAAGTTTATTTTTTCAAAATTTAGGTCATAATTCAATATTATTTTCTTATAAAAGTGGATAATAAATTATTTCTTTAAGATATATATGTAATCCTAACTGGTTGCTATTAAAAGAAAATTGAGATTTATTCGTCTCTCCTCATATTACCATACTAAAAATCGAAAACATTGGGATTCTTCATACCATACACATACTAAACAAATTCAGATGGAAATCATCCGATTAATAGCCGCCGATCATAACCTCCATTGATTATTCCTGCCATACGAATATTGTTCCTCTCAAATAAATATTCATGGCGACGACCATTTGGAACTCTTGAATATACGTCCATATCTTTTACAATGTGTGGATATCAATATCAATATCGAATATGAGTGTATAAGTTCGCCGTTTTGACAATGTATACGTGTTCTTTGTGCTAATAGTTAGGGGATTTGAATTTTAATCATATATGTAATTCATTTTCATCTTTGGTTGTGACATTCCGTGACACTATTTATCTTACACAATGTCATCAATGTATCTTCATAACCTGCACAAAACAGCGTCACTCTGACTTGCCTAAAAAAATATTGACAATATTTTGATTGCAATGGATAACTTTACTTATGTGACCACCCATGTATCCGTCAGATGTGATAACTGTGACTTGATAACATGTTTAAAATGTCTAGCGCCTCCATGCATGACGTGTGTTGTGACCATGGTAAATTGTAACCTTTGTAAAATCACGCATGAGACTTATATCACTCAGAGTTGTGCTATTCGTACAGACTCACTTGCACAGGATCTGTACAGAGCCTCTCACATGGAGGTGGACCCCACACATGGCCACTTTAGTTTCTTCAAAAGTATACCGTCCAATTCCTCTCAATAAAATAATAATATTTTCCAATGTAAAATTTTAGAAGAAAAAATCCATCATACTTTAGTACAAATAATGTTCTAAAAAACCATAAAACATGACCAAACAAAAACGAGTGAATTACCCAAATGATCACTTAACTTTGTTAAATGTTTCCACATGATCACTGAACTTCAAAATTATCCAATTCATCATTAAACTTTGCAAAAAGTTTCCACAAGATCGCTAAACTTTAAAAATAACTTCATCCATCATTTAACTTCGCAAAAGATTTCCCAAAGGTCACTAAATTTAGTAATTACTGGGAAATCTTTTGCAAGGTTCAGTGACATCGTAAAAACTTTTTGCAAAATTCAATGATGAATGTGGTGATTTTTAAAGTTCAGTGACCCTGTGAAAACCATTTGCAAAATTCAGTGATAAATTGGACGATATTTAAAGTTCAGTGATCCCGTAAAAACCTTTTGCAAAGTTCAATGACCATTTGACTAATTCACTCAAACAAAAACCATAAAATATGACTAGACGTAGAATTCAAACTTCAAGTTTCACAAACCTAGGCCAGAGCCTTTTACTATTTGTAAACTTTTGATCATTCTAAAAATGATTCGATAATTAAATAATATCCATCAAACATCTAAATTATAAAATACTATATATACAGAATAATTCTTATAATTAGTCAATCATACAATTTTCAAAAGAAAAACTTGAAAACAAAAGGTTTTTTAAAAAAGAAAAAATAATAATAAAGCACATCTAGTCGCTTAATAAGCGATTAACTTTACAATAGATAGTTCAATTTTGAGCTTACCATCAAGGAGTGGCCTTTTGCTCGTGTCTAGACGGCTTTTTAAAACACTAGGTACAACTAACGAGATTTTGATTAAAATAAAAAATAAATGCTAAAAATTGTTTAAAATATCTTTCAATTAAAAAATATGTGATTTCTGCATAGAATAAACTTTTACCTTACTATAAAAACTTAAAAATATGGTTCCTCTAATTTTCTCTACTTCCAAACTTACTTTGTTTCAAACAGTCAGAAAATAATTGGGTTAACCCTAGGTCCAAGTTCAAGGACCTTTCTTGGCCTATGGTTTAACCTGGCCATGCTGTAAAACGGGATATACTTAGCCTGACCTAAATTTTAACTGTGTCAATCCAATCTACTTTACACCTCTATTCTACCTACCACGTACAATCTTCAAAGTATCGATACTACAAAAAAATATTAATAATGTAGAGGCCAAGGTATCGAAGCCTATCGAGTAGCAAAGCACCTTTATCTTGACCATAAGTTTCCTTTTCAAAGGAATCTATGCTTATCCCAATTGCAAAGTAAAGTGTGAAGTATTGCAACTTTTACTAGAATATTGCAAAGATATACAGGCAGCAAAGAAAAATGCGATTCATAATACAAAAGTTATAGAGGCAAAAAAAGGAACAAATTCAAGACCCCACACCTTTTACCCCTTCTAAAGTTAACAACACCGTTGGACCATCAACAAGATTCACCAAAATCCTTCCAAATAGAGAGCAGACAGAGAAACACGAAAAGGCCTTCGAACAAGAAAAAAAATCCAAGGAAATAAGGCTTCCAGTCTACTTTTCAAGAGGAAGCAACAATCAAAAGACGTAATACCATCAGCTCTACCATAAAGTCATTAACAGACAAAAGAACTTAATGGAATTAGTTCTAATGAGGGACGACCACACAGCTTTCGGCTAAACTATTCTTCTATGTAGAAGAATCATCAGAATGGTTCTACAAGCGGCGCAAATCACCATTAAGTTGGGCAGAAATGCTCCGTTTGGCAAAATTTCTAAATCATTTAGAAATAGTCAAACTTCATTTCAACAACACGTTCCAACGGACATACATTCCAATAGTCTAACAAGTACCATCCACTTATTCTTCCCAAACGGAGGCTTAATACACATGAGTAGAGATTAATACGTTATTTAAAACTATTGTTCTGAGACCAGTTGAGGCTGGGAAAATGATTCACACTGGATATTTTGCAGACAAAATTGAAGTTAGGAACATTCATGCTACCATATTGATAAAAAAGATGCAATCATAGAGTTAGAAGATGAGGAAAAGGCTACAATGGTGAGAATAAAGTATAAAACTGGTTACAAAAGAAAGAATAAATTCTTAAAACAACCCAAATTACAAAAATTCCAGCAAAGACGTGGACTTAAGTTGGAGAAACTTCCATGTTATAGAACTACAAGACATCAAAATGATATTAAAATTTCTGGGCTAAATTAGAGTTTTCAATAACAGATAATTTTCACTGATTTCTACTGGAATATGTCTCTTATTCTTCCTTAGAGGATCTCTGATAGTTAACGAAGTAGAAAGCAGGGGTGGTCCTACTTGAGGCACAGCGGGGTTGGCCGCCCTTACTCAATTTTCAAATTTTCAGTTTTTCTCCAGGTTTTTTAAGGTTTTCAATTTTTTTTTGGTTCCGCGCCCACTAAACTTCCGCCCTAGGTCCACCCTTGGTAGAACGCTATTTTCCTCGGGAAAGTTCTTCTTAAGTTTTCCACTAGTTTCTACATTCTTATCATTTTGGTAAAGGTATAACTACAATGTGCATTAAAACAGGAAGTCACAAAGAAAAAGAAAAAAAGGAAAGAAAAAAAAATCAACCCCATGTGCATCTCGCTGGCTAAACACAACAAATTAATGCCAACTATATAATAGAAGCAAGAAGGAAAAAGGGAATCACATGAGCTGATTGGCAAGAACAGATTCAACTGTCAAACAATCTTCTTCAGGAGTTACTGTAATGCAATACTGTTGGACATGACATAGGGGCGTAGGGGGCTGTGTGTATACAGAAATGCACGATTCAACAATCCACAATCAAATGGGTTGTATACTACAAAGCCAATACTCGCTTTGTTTGTAAGTTCATTAGATTCATTATTCAAAGAAAATATGGCTAGACGTAGAGCAAAAGGACCATCGGAGGAATAAAGAACCATTATATAGACAATCTTAGATATAACTCAGTGATAAATTCTTTCAGCTCTAGGGTATACCTTTTCCGGGAATCCCTAATAAGAATTGATAATCTTGTCTCATTGATGGAGAATAAAAGATAGGTTATTATAGTTTCCATATGTACACTTACTCTTCTTCTCTTTCTTCTCTCCCTCTTCTTCGTTTTCTACGTCATTCTTGCTGCACCGATGGACTGTTTACATACTCGACTAGACAGCATAAGCAAGAAACATAAGCAAAATTCTAACCACTGTACCATGCAGTACTATCAAGTACTAAATCCAAGCATACCCTAAACATTTGCTATGAAGAAAATATGGTTGATTGTCCTGCTATACCAATTAATTTCGCATCAACGACACATATTTCATTTGGACATATAAACGCACAAGGATACCAGCTAGTGATACACTCAAGCTAAGAAACAAGCATAGCCTACCGCAAACAAACCATCGAGACCATATCTCTTCTCCAATGCAAAAACGTAACCGCATCAGTTCAAGAAAGACACATGATTTTAGTGCCCTAATTCTAACCATTTTTCTAAATTTTTTAAACTTATTTTAGAGAACCCAATTGAAGAAATGTTACTAAAAGCATTGTAATCCACCAAAATCATATCAGTGTAACAGGCTTAAGCAAATTATCATAGAGTAAAAGGGGATAGAAATAATTTAAATATCACTGTACAAGAACAAACCTCCCACCTCCAAGATCCCCACCATCACCACCTTCAGCGCCTCCATCTTCTTCAGCACCGCCTTTTGGCACTGTCACAACCAACTCCCCTTGGTGGTACACGGCAGTTGCCAATCCCGGCCATGTCGAATCCGGGAGCCGAAACCGCCACTTATCCATCTCCAATTCATTTCCAGACAAGTCAACGACGTCGTTTACCCGGATAACAATCTTGGTAACCCCAGGGTAAATCTCAATAGCGTGTGCCCCAACTTCACCTGTGATTACACCCGTGGCGACGACGAATCTAAGGGAATCGGGGGTTTCGTCGATCAAAACGTCGGCGTCTGAGCGGAAAGGTAGCTCCAACACTTTGGCGAAGATGTGGGGTAGTCGCCGAAGCTTTCTTTGCCCGCAGACGTTCGCCTGAGAGAGAGCCGATGCTATGTCGTATTGCAGAGTGACCGGCACCGGATGAACCTTCATGGCGGGGCTTTATCAAGAAATCTGAATCAAAGTGGTAAAAAAAACCCCAGATTATAACTGTGCAAAACTGTTCAACAGATTGAATTTTTCTTTAAAAAAAAATAAATTGGTTTATTCAAAGGAAAACCCAGATCATAACCCTGCAAAACTGCGTTAAATTATTGAAAAAATTCAAGAAACCAGATGATTCAAGAGTTATAGGTGACAAAAATAAAAACAGTGTATGTATATATTTCGTCTGTGCAGCTGTTCACTGGATTGGATTGCGTAGAGAGAGAGATGGATTATATATTATAGAATAGGTAATGAAAAATTTGATCTGATTTGGTATGGCATTTTCCTTATATTAATTTCGTGTTGATATTCTTGATTTAATACAGATTATTATCTGGTTAATCTTTATTACATTACATTGGTAGTGCCGTGTCGGTGATTGAAAACGACGGTTAATTCTGGACGCTTCACGTGTTTGGCAGGTATATTGGTCCAGTCTGGAATAATTTTATAAAAATATTCAAGTCGGAATTAAAATCAAATTTTTAATAAAATATGATAAAATTGATAAAATATATTATTAAAATTAATTATTGATTTTGTCTCAAGTAAAAATCTTGATTTTAATCGTCTATCAATCAAGGATAAAATTGGATAATAGCAAGGTTCTAAATCATTAAAGTTAGTGATAATGAGTCCCAAATCTTTAATTTGTGACATTTTCGAAACTAAAAACAATTAGCACCACTCGTCCTTTATGGAAGGAAATCGTTAAAACGCTCGTTAAGTAGTCAAATTTTGAATAAAATGATAACTATGCCCTTATCTTAATAACATAAAACGATTTGGTATCCAAGTAATCTTTACCTGATAAAATTTGGCTCATGTTCGGTGGATATTAAAATTAGATTTTTAGTAAATTTTGATAAAAGTTGATGAAATATGTGATTGAAAAGTTATGAGTTCCATAAAATATGTAATTAAAATTGATGACTTTGAACAGAGACTTAATATTTTGCAATTAATTTTATTTACTATGTAAAATAGGACACTAAATTAGGGTTAAAACTTGTTTGACCATTCTATTTTGAAAAATGATGTGTACGGTGTACACATAGCATTACATCCCCTCATATAGAGGGGAGCTCACACACAATAAAATATTCGTGGACGCCTTGTCTGTGAGAGGGGTATTATGCATTGTGTGCACCAGGTGTACACATAGCATTTCCCATCTTATTTTGGTCTCAATATTTTTTGCTTTAGTAGATTAAATGCGCCCAATTTCCATTTATTTACCTCGTTAGGTGTCAATGAGGAAATTTTTACATGGCATAAACTTGCAAGTTAACTACCAACAATTGGCCAGTAGAGATATACTGTTATTATTTTATTGAAGGTTTTAGTAACCAAACGCAACATATTTTTCCAAAAATTATTTGAAAGAATCCAATCTAGCTAAGGAAGCTACTATGCTGCTTGATTTTGATAGTTAACGATGGAGTATATTTAAGAAGTTTGCCATGTCGAAATTGAGTAGAATGAATTCAGGGGTACGTGAATGAGAGTTGAGTGCTAAATCTGGAACTAAAAGAATAGTGACTAAAGTAGGGTATATTCATAAATTGAGTGTCTAAATAGATTAGTTTTGAGAAAAGAGAATAGCGACTAAAATAGGGTACATTCATAAGTTGAGTGTCTAAATAGATTAGTTTTGAGAAAAGAGAATAGCGACTAAAGTAGGGTTTATTCGTAAGTTGAGTGTCTAAATAGATGAGTTTTGGGACACTTTTTTTCCCCCGATGTGAAATATGTGTTCTCTATTTATTTATTTTTCATGTGAAATATGTGTTCTCTATCATATTTGCTTTTGCAATTTTTATTTTTATTTATTTATTTATTTATTATTATTATTTATTTTTTTGGTTTGAAGACTTGTTTTTCTATTTATTGACACACTTCTTTACTTTAATTTCATTTGATTCATGATGGTTTTTGAGCTTCCCCAATAATTGAACTTCAAATTTCAATTATGCCATTGAATTGAATTTCAAATATCACTAATTTATTACATATCGTGGCATTTTATTCTAAAAACTCGTACCATATCCGATCTTCTACATAATCGCTATATGTATTACGACTAATACCATAGAGGAATATTACTTTCCTCATATTTTCCTTATTAATCCAATTGTAATTTCCCTTTGATTTATATTCTTAAATTACCCTAGGTTTCTTTTTCACGTGCACTATAAAAGGACTTGTGAACATTCATTCAAAATTAATGAGAAATTTTCATTCACATATCAATTGTAACATGGTATCAGAGCATCTAGGTTAAAGAATCCATACCTGGTAATGGATACCCCTATGCGGGAAGCCACCAAGGCTCTTACAGACACCACATCCCCTTACTTCCTACATTCATCCGATCAACCAAATCAGTTACTAGTCGATGCAGTTCTCAATGGGGATAATTATCCTTCTTGGCGTCGATCCATAACACGTGCCTTGAATGCCAAAAACAAGTTGGGTTTCGTTCTCGGCACTATTAAACGGCCAACCGAAGATATAGCAGCTGCACTCCTCTAGGATCGATGCTGCGACATGATAATGTCGTGGCTTCTTCAATCTATTGACTGGTCCCTCGCCGGAAGTCTTATCTACTGTGCGACACCCAACGATCTGTGGGTAGAATTGGAAACCCGTTTTCAGCAGGACAACCGAACCAAGATTTTTCGATTGAAGTGTGAACTGGCAAATCTTAATCAAGAACACCAATCCATTACAGTCTATTACGAAAAATTAAAGGAACTTTGGGATGAATTAGCCTCACTCCTGCCTACAACTCCATGTACTTGCGGTGCAGCCAAAGTAATTATTAAATCCATGATTCGGATCGTGTATACCAATTCCTCATGGGCCTCAACGATAGCTATCAACAACTCTGGTCCCAAATCTTGGCTATGGACCCCCTTCCTTCAACTGGGCATTGCTATGCCATTCTACATCAAGAAGAAGCCCAACGCCTAGTCCAAATGCCTACCCCTCGACCGGAAGTTTCAGCCCTAGCTAGCCGCTCTTCGATGTTGCAGAAGGCTCCTCCTCCCCCACGGCGTGTCTGTGAGGTTTGTCGCAGACATGGACATTCTCGTACAAGTTGTTTTGAGGTCATTGGCTACCCAGAACGATGGCAGTCGAAGGGAAAGCGTACGGGATAGGGAGCTCCATCGCCAGCAGCCCACCAAACTTCAGCCGCGTCTGAACCTCCTACCATGAACAGCACCGTCCATGGTCTCTCGACCGAGCACATTGCCCAATTAATGGAACTCCTCAAATCCTCACACCTCTCCTCCACAGATTCCATCCCTACGCCCTCCACAGGTTCTATTTCTACATCCCCACTTAGTTCAAAATCTTGGGTAATTGATAATGGTGCAACACACCATATCACCTCTTCAATTTTAAATAATTCCGATAATACCCCTTGCCCACGTTTTGTTGGACTTCCCACAAGTTCTCGTGCTCCTGTATCTAGTTCGGGTGATGTTAATTTGTCACCTCGTCTCACACTTTCAAATGTTTTATCCGTTCCAGATTTTCAATTTAATTTATTATCTGTCAGTCAACTAACGAAGTCTCTCCACTGTGTTGTTTCTTTTTTTCCTACATTTTGTACTTTTCAGGACCTAAATACGAAGATGCTGATTGGAGTGGGTAATGAGCGTGATGGACTTTACTATTTCAAGAATACTCCCGCAACTGCTCTTCAATCATCTAGTCAGATATCTTTTGACACATGGCATCAACGTTTATGTCATCCTTCCCCCCATAATGTTCCCCAATTTATTTCCCATTTTCAAATTAATAAATATTGTGACATATGTACTCATGGAAAACAAACTCGATTACCTTTTCAATTAATTAATAATAAGAGTTCGATGCCTTTTGAACACATTTTTTGTGACATTTGGGGCGGCTATCACACCACTTCTCTATCCAGTGCACATTACTTTTTAACAATTTTTGATGAATACACTCGAGTTACATGGTTGTATTTGATGCGTTCCAAATCCGAACTTTAACCTGTCTCCGCACATTTTTTGCCATGATTCGGACCCAATTCAATTGCACTATACGACATATTCGCACCGATAATGGTCAAGAATTCCTTGCTAATGCGACTCAGGACTTCTTTTCTGAACAAGGTACCCTTCATGAACGTACTTGCGTGGAAACACCTCAACAGAATAGTGTTGCCGAGCGTAATCACCATCATATCCTAAATGTCGCTCAGTGCTTACATTTTCAGGCTCATCTTCCTCTCAATTTTTGGGGTGATTGTGTTCTCACTGCTACATATCTCATCAATTGTACCCCATCCTCATCCTTACATAATATTTCTCCTTTTGAGCGCCTTTATCAACATGCACCCCAATATGACCATTTGCATGTTTTTGGTCATCTTTGCTATGCTCACACCATATTTGCTCATCGTGATAAATTTCAACCTCGTGCTTGTCCCTGTGTTTTTTTGGGATATCCTCCTACTCATAATGGATATCGGGTTTATGACTTAGAAAATAAGAAAACTATAATCTCACGGGATGTTACCTTTATTGAGCATGTTTTTCCCTTCAAACTAGTACCCCAGTCTTCTCCATCACCTATCGTCTTACCCCTTCCTATCGTTGAACGCCCCGTTTTCCCACCATCAACCTCGTCCCCTGTCGATCCCATTAACGTCCCCCCTCTCGCTAGTCCCCGTCGTACTATACAACGTCCTGCCCATCTTGCTGACTATGTTTGCCCTACTCTTCCATCGTCCTCTTCTGTTGCGCACACCACCGCTCTAGTCACAGCTTCAGGTACCGCTCATCCCTTTTCTAATTTTGTTTCCTATCATAAATTTTCACCTGGTCACTTTGCATTTTTATCTGCTCTATCACAATCTCATGATCCTACTCGATATTCTCAGGCTGCACAGCATTCCCATTGGCGTGATGCTATGCAAAATGAGATTTGAGCACTTGAATCTAATAATACTTGGCGCCTTACCACCCTTCCTCCTGGTAAGACACCTATTGGTTGTAAGTGGGTATTAAAACCAAATTTCATGTTGATGGTTCCATTGAACGGTATAAAGCTCGGTTGGTGGCCAAGGGGTACACTCAGGTTGAGGGCCTTGATTATCATGACACTTTTGCTCCTGTCGCTAAGCTTGTGACTGTACGTTGTGTATTGGCTATTGCAGCTGCCTGTCATTGGCATCTTCATCAGCTTGATGTCAATAATGCTTTTCTTCATGGAGATTTAGAGGAGGAGGTCTACATGTCGCTTCCTCCTGGTTATGATCGTAAGGGGAAGACTCGTGTTTGTCGC